AGGCAGATTTATGTAACTTTGATTCTGGATAAACCCTCTCCAGCTCCCATGGGAACTTCCCTCTGATACTGGTGGGCAGGTTTTGTCTGAGCTGGCAGAGCTCAGGGTGTACGGCTGAGAAGGTGAATGATGGGGCAAGAGGCGTACCTGATATTGTCACGAGGACATTAAGGCCCTCGAGTACGTCCATCTGTTGAAATCGCCGTCTGTTGATGAGGTTGTAGACTTTCCCTTGCCCGCTTCGATCCAGCAGCATCAGGCCATTTTCTGTGCCCACCAGCAGATTCACACCTGAAGAGGAGAGGGCAATGGGCACCAGCAGCCATGGCTGCTCCCAAGGATGACACAGCAAGCTTGTCCCTACTACCACCAAGAGAGTAACTGATCCCAGGAACATGATCTTCCCAGGAACATGAAGGGTCACTCTTACAGCACGGGCACTTAGAGACATTAGCCTTGCCCGGGACGGAGGAGGAGACAACCGGAGGCAGGGGCTCGGCTCTGCAATGACACAGTCGTGTTTCATCGCCAGACATGTGCTCCAAGGGCATACTCAGGGCTTACCCCATAAAGCAGCACAGAGTATCTCTGAGTTAAAGCGCTTCTTGTATTTCCGGATCTCTGGGGTGTCGCTGTGGGGACGAATGTTGGTGGGGTTGACGTTCACCACCGAGATCTTCCGGGCTTCGTTCAGCTTGGCCTGCTCCTGTCTGAGCAGCTCGCTAGTGAAGAGGGCTTGCAAGGAAACACAAGAAGACAAGGAGGTGTGACAGATTAACTCTTCTGTCTTCTCTTTTTTTGGCATAAGAAGAGAAGAAGTGGTTTATTTCCTGACAGGGGAGTCATCACTATGTTACAAGTTTTGAGAGGGATCGTTAGGATATTCTCATGGGTTAGAACCAATGCCAAAACCATCAGTAGGTAATGTGCCAAAACCATCAGTAGGTAGCGTCCCCAGACCTCCAGCCCTGCCTACTGAGCTGACCAGCACCATTCACTGCCCGCCTGCCCACATCCAGCCATTTTCAATGACTTCAGAGCAACTGCCAGCTTTTTGGAGCCATCACCACCTCCCAGTTCTACCAGGAACATTTCTCCCAGCTGTCCAGGTGGGTGGATTTCTGCTACTTCTTGTTTTCTCCCAGATCTTTCTAGTGGCATTTCACTGGTGGGGGAGAAGAAGCTGGATGGAAACTGGAGAGCACAAGGATGCAGACACAATCGTTGTTTGGACAAGAGTAAGAGAAAAGTGAAAGAGGCTCAGTGGGGCTATTCAGGCTCCATGGCCTGGTTTCCACGAGGTCTTCCTCTCTCAAAATAGCCCTATTGTCTCCTACCAGTAGCAGATGACTCTTCGTCCTCATCTTCATCTTCATCAGTAGGCGAGGTCTGATACACTCTGGTGTCCACAAAGGGGGTAAAAGAGGCTTTGGTGCTACTTCCCATACCATACTGGAAAATAAACAGCAAAGAGAGCTCAGAGCACAGAAATAACGATAATTTTGTGTAAGTGTGTATATGTAAAACTTTTTAAGCAGCAGACCCAGTGCCTGCCCCTGTGGTGCCCTTTTTGAGCCCTCTATGAACACCTGCTCCTCCTCCCACGTAACTAATTAGGAAAAACATTAAATTGGATTTGTGAGTGCCCATAAACAACAGAAAACGAAAGGAACAGACCCTGGCTCCACGAAGCACAGCACAGCCACAAGACCGGTTAGCGGAGAAGCCGCAGGGCCAGAGGCAGAAGTCAATGCAGGTCAAACCCAACTTGTCTGCGCATAACGCATCTGCCTGCCTTAAAATGCCTGTGCTGGGAATTCAGGCAGGTGAGGGTTTGATTTTCCCCCTCTCCCACTGTGCAGCCAAGAGCAGCAGGACGGTACTGGGAGCCCCTGGGAAGCCCCAGCATGGGGCAGTCAACATGGACCAGTGACCACCAGAGTAATTCAGAGAGATGGGAAAGGTGGGACTGCTGCTTTCCTGGTGCCAAAGCCAACCGCTAACTAGCACAGTCTGAGCAAAGGTTTTATTTCAACATGGAGATATATTTTAGGGAAAGCTGTTGAACAGGGGGTGTTTAAAAATGCCCTGGATACAGAGGCTCATTAGAAGATGGCATCCCTGACACTGCTCCACCTCCTCCAAAGTCTTCAGTACACCTTGTGGGGATGACACGTATGGGTCACCTGCAATTTCAATGAAGTGTTTTAAATTGTCTACCACATTTTGGGTGGGACTGCAGACAGTTTCTAAGCTAACAAAACTTAACCTGAAGGTATTGCAGGAATGTCAGAGCCAATAGTTTGCCAAGGGAATTTGAGGAGGAACAAACTGCACCATCACGTTGCTTTCTTTTTAAAGCCATTGCTTTGTTCAGGCAGAAAACGAGGCTAAGACCTTGTCCCAAGGAAAAGGAAATCCTTGCCTGTGGAGTCAAAGTGATGTGATTTTCCCCCCTTGTTGAGCAGCTTATTTTTCTGCTCCAGCATTGGCCCAGGATGTGCCTTATGTAACAGCTCCGTTAAGAGCTGTAACAGCAGCTAAAACCAAGCCCTGCAGCAGCAGCAGCAGCAGCAGCAGCAGCAGCACTGCTACTGCTCACGTTTTTCTTCCTTAGGACATTTTCCTTTCCTGAAACAAATCCACCTCAGCTTTCATGTCACTGAGTCACTGGAGCCCAGGCTGCCCCCCAGGCCCATCGCCACTGTCCACATGCTGACAACTGCCACAGGGACAAGCCCATGCCATAAGGAACTGCATCACCCCAGCATATCCATACCAAAACTGGGCTGGGCTCGTTCCTGTCCTCCAGTGGGCCACAGAAAGATTTAAGGACAAAAAACCATCGGGTGTAGGAGCACTCTCATGGCTCAGGACTTTCCAAGCATTTTGGGGCTGGCATCCATGGGTGAGCTGGCATCCATGCCCTGTGCAGCCAAAACCACGCTGCACACCCTGCTTCCCTCCTGTCTCTATGTCCCTGACAGCTCGCCCGTTACCATAGAAACGAGATGGGTTTCCAAAAAGTACATGGTAACCCCATGGAAGGAGTTAACAGCCTGAGGCAGGGAAGGCTGCAGGGACAGATAGCGCATTTACACACACAGCCCTCCTGTATTTCTGTGTGCATGTAAGAGAAACTCAATACTTTGTGCTTCTTTCATATCCAAGAAATACACATTTCTTTCCTGCACTAAGCTATTATTAAGCTATTTCTAAGGTCTAACTATTCAAGGAGGTGAAAAATTCAGTATTTACAGGGAAGCTTTCCAGCTGAGACCCGGGTGCATTCTGATGAATTATGAAGGAACTCCTCGTCCCAGTGCACCAAGCATTTCTTTTCTTTGCTCAGATTCAGCTATCCTCCCAGGAAGCTGGCATTTTAACAACTTCCAAGTCCCTTATTTAAATATTAAGAACTCATCTTCCCCCAGGTCCTGTTCAACCTCCTCTGAACCTTTGTGGTGGCTCACAGAAACAGCACCAAGCTGTGGGGTGAGGTCGTGCTCGTTCCTTCTCTGTGCTCGCAGCACCATGAGTCACCTGGAAGCCTGCGAACTAAATCCCCAACTTTCCACTTACACCCACTCCTGGCTCAGTCAGCCCTAAAAACACTGTTTCAGAAATGGGAAAGATCTCCTTGGTTGGTATTTTAGAAATGAATCTATTTAAACCCAGTCTTAGCTTGTGTTTAAGCAGTCCCAGGATGACCGAGGAAGCTGTTACTTTCAGGACCAACTTTGTCATCACTGTGTGATGACAAAGGCAACGAGGAAATGGATAAAACCTTCAGGTCAAGTCACGCATCATCTGTTCTTTTTATCAATGCCCAGTTCCAAGCAATTTGTATTCTTATACTGCTATTAAAAGTAAACCGTAAAATGAGTACATCATTTCTATGAAAGGGAGTATGATGACAGAACTTTTGATGTGTAACTGACAAAATGAAAAGACAAAATTAAATAAAATAGCTTATTTAGCACCAAATGGGTTATTTTCTTGTGGGAAAATAGAGAACTGTGCCTGATTCCCACAGCTGGTCATGGGAAGCACGACACATCAATTCCCTTGTCGTGCGTCACATCTTGTACCTTCTAGGACTTTTTACGCCTTATACAACGTTAATGTTCAATCATGTCCCGGTAAAACAGCTAACGAGGAGAAATACTTTGCAATGACTGGAAACACACAATTTCAAAGGTGAGCAGATTTTTTTTCTAGCCTGAAGAACTATCCAGAATTTTGTTGGCTTTGGTTTTTGCTAACTTTTTGAGTCACGTTAAGTATCAGACATGGCACAGGTAGAAGCTGGGCCCCGTTTAAGCTAACGGCATCACTGCCTCTTGTAATTTTCTTGTATATCCAAATGTCAAAGAAAAGAAAAAAAGGCTTTCACGTCATTTGACAGCATTCAAGCCGCAACCGCCAGAACTGCTGGTGGGCTTGAGAGAAGACCCAATATACATTTCTACCATCAGCCATAGACCCATGTAGCAATAACCCATCAGATTCCCTTGTACTTCCACCACGCTCACCCATGTGGACCAGAAACAGAGAGAGAGAAGAGCCAAGAAAGACAGGGACAAAAGCAGGAAAGCCCCTTGATGGAGCAGAGATGTTAATACTTGTTTTAGGTGATGCAAAGGAGAAGGAGGAGCCCCCCACCACCTACTTCAGGCACCGAGTCCATGTCCTGCGCATGCGTGGAGCCTCGCCCCAGGGCCTCGGTCGGCGTGCCCGCAGGCGAGTGGCTTTGCTGCACCAGGTCAGGGAGATTGATGTGCCCTGCAAAGCCATTGCTGGCTGCGTGGCCAGAACGTTTTTTTTCACCAGAGGTCTGCAGAGACACAAGGCATGAGGAAGAAAGAGAAGGGCGGGGAGAAAAAAAGAGAAAAAGAAGAGAAAAACACAAAACAAAACCAAGTTGTTGGCAATTCCCCAGTTCCCAAAGCAAGTGAAGGAGAAGGACCCTCTTCTGTTTCAATCCCCATGCAATCTGGCAAGCAAGAAACCAACCCCCCACCCCAGGAGAAATAAAGACAGGATTAATCACAAAGTCAATACAGAGTCGTTAGCCACGTTACAGCGAGAGAAGCCTGATCACGTCATTTTGAGACAAGGAACGTAGGGCAGATTCTGCTCTTGCCACCACGGGTGCAGACCCCATGGCCAGCTCTCCTCTCACGCAGCTACTGGTCATGGAGACAGCAGAATCTGACCCCTCAACCAGCGTCAGCCTTTGCGGCTTTGCAGAGCTATGGCAGCGATAGCCTGACTGCAAATGCCAACACAGCCCCTGTCGCATGTTTCTGTAACCCAAATCAGCAGTGAACAGCGGCAGCGTCGGCTGAATGACCGGCACCTCGCTCTGCACACAAGGCTTCCAGGGCTTCCCCTTCCTCTCCATCCCCACTTCATGCAAGGCTGGGAAGTCTCTCCCTTCCCTGTGTATTGTTTTGAGATGTTTGCCATTCTGATGAATCCCACAGACAGTAAGGACACAGCACAAGGCTGCGCTTTGGGTTTTTCATCATGCTCCCTCCTCCCAAAAGGGTTTTCCAGCTGCTTGTCTTGCCTGTGACTTCAAAACCCCTCTGCACCACTGGTTTTCTCACAGGGCCTTGTTGGTGTGGCAAGTGTGTTAGATCCCTAAAGCCAGCAAGGGCTCCCTCCTTCTCCTCTGCCATCCACCTCCTTTATACCCTGGCAGAAGAGCAACTCCCCTGTCTGACCAACTCCAGAGCCCCCTGCCCTCTCACCAGGGGACCTGCTGCCACCTGCATTTCCAGCAGCATCACCAGCATGTTCCAGCAACTGGGAAACTGGGAAGCACTGGGGGAGACACCCCATAGCCTCCCTCTGCCTCACTCCTGCAGTACCATCCATCAGGTTTGCTCCCACTGCAGCCTTACCTCCGCAATGCCGGAGCCGGGGACAGTGGCTCACATCTGGGTGGGATGCCTAGTGCCCCCCATAGCTTGTAGGGATAGGGGCTTGGACCTCCTCGAGGAGAACCAGCCCCAAGTAAAAGCCTCCAAACACTCTACAAGCACCACACCCCTCTGACAGTGCCATGGTGGCAAAGGTTGGGAAGAAGAGGGGAAACTCTGTGCCAGGTTCCAAGTGTATTAACTAAATGCTGTAAATTGAAGATAATTTCTGTTGCCTGGAGCTACTGTGGGATTAGGGCAGAGCCATTTGTATGAGTGTCCTCCCTGCTGTGCCCTGGCATTACTATTCACTGCTGTTTGTAGTTCTAAGAAACATCTGCACTTGTCACATTTGCTCTGAGTGTAAATTGTATTAACAAGAGCACTAACAAGCACAATTTACTCAGTCATTTTGTGTTCCGGACACACAGCACTGTTAGTTTTTGTGCTTACATGGGCAAAACCTCCTGAAGATGCTCCATGGAAATATTTGTTTTACAACTTACCTCCCTCACCATTAAAGTCCCTTCCCTTGAAATATTGCTAAACGTATCTGCATGGGAAGTCTCCAGCCCGTGGGTTGTCACCATTCCCAGGTTGTACGGCTCATTGCTTCCAGGAATTCCTGTTGGTCTGAGGACAGAATGGAAAAGCAAAAGAGAAAGAAAATGAAAGACACCCCTGCCACTTCATACCCCACCACAATGAAGCCAGATACATCTGTATCAACTAATAATTCATTTAGCAGGAGAAATGGAAATGAACTGATTAAAATGCAAATAAACCACTAAAGCCTTCCCACAACTCCTCTGCAAATTCAAAGGGGCAGGAGTCAGACCCCACTGCCAAGCGTGGAGCCTCCAGAAACATCCCTGCAGCACTGCAAAACCCTGGGCAGGGCTGCTCCGCCAGCTCCCTCTGCGCAGGGACAGCCGCTCTGTGCGTGTTGAAGCTGTGCTGCCCTCTTCCTGCGTCTGGAGAGATCCAAAAGCACGAGTGTCCCATGACCTGTGATGGGGACACAGTGCTACAGTCCGCTGACTTTTCTGTTTCAGTGTTTTAGCCCACTGCATTCTGTTGCCAGTACAGTGACTAAGTCAAGGACAAAAATCAAAGACAAAAAAAATCAGGATTATTATAATCCTGGCTCTATCAGTTGACACTGGGCAGGACACCAAGTACTGCACTTCTGCCTGGCTTGATCTGAGGCAGGACCAGACTGAAAAGCAGGCAGAGCTTTAACACACCAACCTCATGGGCAGGGCCCAAGGTGTGGATGAGGTCAGGGGCATCCACTCTGGCCAAAAACCCGCCTTGCTCATCAG